TTTAAAGCTACCTCCTAAATTATACTTTCTCTAATTTTTTTTTATTATATAAATTTGATGTAATTGAATTTTTCATTCCCACAGCATTCTTTTTGGATGGTTGTTGTTGTTGAGTTTTGCAATACCATAATGACGTTTGAGAATTGACAAGTTCGACTTTAATGAGGCCACCTACTGATGAGTTTTATATTTACGTGGAAAGTAGTAAATTAGGATCCAATGGATACAGATCCGCACATGAATATTTTCTTTCTTTAGTCAAATCCTATAATATTCCAAATAAAATCTGCTAATAGTAAAATTTATGGTTGAATTCAGTGGTGTAGTTAGGAATTTAGTACAGAGAGGGTATAAATTAATGATAATTTAATTTTATTTTTTTAAAAATATTTTTTAGAAAATTCTATTTTATTATTTTTCGTATTTTTATTGATTTTTTAAAATATTTTAAGCAATTTTTTTTTTTTACTTTTTAGGCATACCTACATAAATATACCTAAAAAGTAAAAAAATTATAAAAAAATATTTTAAAAATTCACTAAATATCAAAAATATAAAAAAAATACGAGAATTCAATATATTTTTTGTATTTTCATGTATTTATTAATTTTTTAAAATATTTTTTAATTTTTTTTTTACTTTTTAGATATATCTAAGTAAGATACATCTAAAAAAGTAAAAAAAAATTTGAAAATTTTAAAAATATTCACTAAAAACAAAAAAAAACACGAAAAATAAAAAAACTCAATTTTCAAAAAACTTAATCCAAAAAATTCAAACCAAACACACTGATTAATTTTTTTTTTTTTTCATAATAAACAACAATGAGATATTACTAAACTTAAATATCAAGAGTTCATTTAGATAAATGTGAATTTTAAATTAAAGGATTGGAGATTAAATTTTATTCAAATTTTGGAGAATAACTATTTTATAGGTGGATAAGAAAATTAAAAAAAAGATACGTTCAGACAGAAATGATATATTTTAGAAGAGAAATTCTACAAAATATACCACAAAAAAGTGTCTATCATTTGTCGCAATTATCTTCGTGATCTTTAGTTATAACACATTATAGTGTTAGATATAATTTAGTTATAACTTCTTGTGGTTGTTATTTTAGTTATGACTATATATCAAGTAATAGTGAATTATGACTCATTCTGATATTAGTTATGACCTATTGTAATTTTTTTTATTTTTATAATTAAAGATGTATTGCTTGATTATAATTTATATAGTGGTCATTTTAGTTATGAATGAAAAGAAACACATGAAGGATAAACTCCATATGTCAAATGTAACTAACAATCCAATAAATTCAATATCTTCATTAAAATTAATTATGTTTGTATGTCAATAATGATAAATATCACCATTATATTGAAATTTTTATAGATAATAATATAACTTATTATAGCCTATTTATTTTTAATCAAAATAACTATTATTATTCTCATAATTTTAAAAATGTCATTGATATTTCACTTTAAATAATTTTTTTATAATTTTTTTTATTTAATATATTTTCTTTTTGTTTAAAAAAAAAAAATAAATTCCAAAACTCAGGGTGTGCCCCCTCCTGAGTCAAACATGGCTCCGCCCTTTTATCTATATCTAAAATAAATTTTGTTCTATCATTATATTTTTTAATTTATATTTTATCTTTCTTGTCATAATTTCTTTAAAAAATTTATGCATATTATATTATTACAATAATGTTGTACTTGTCAAAGTACTGCTAGAAAATTTACTTTCTTTTATTTAAGGTTAAAACATTTTTTCTCATATGGTCTAAATACAATTAGATAGTTCTCATGTGATTTTGAATTAGCATAAATAGACATAATATGACTTTAATACCTCTAAAGCCAATTGCCTTTCTTTTTTTTCTTTTTTTTTTCTTTTCTTTTCTTTTTTTCTCTCTCTATTATATGCATAATTTTAATTTAACCGACATTAATTTAATTAAATTATAAATTAATCATAAAATTTTAATTATTTATTTTAATTCTTAACTTTTAACCTAATTTTAATTTTATTAGATTTTAAATCAATCCCACAAATAAATATATATACATGTATCATGGGGTCAATAGAGATGCTTGGAGAGGAGAGAAAGCGACAATTACGAAGGTGGTTTTGGAAGGGAGAGGGGCGACAACAAAGCCTAGGGAAGGAAGAGGAGGTTGTGGTGAATCATGAAGAGGGAGGTTGCGATTAATTTCACTTTATTTAAAAAAAAGAAAAGAAAAAAAGTTCACTTGAAAAATTTGCATGTGTACTATATATTCTGTTAGTTTGAATGAAAAAAATAGCAATTAACCTAAGATCATTTGAAGGCTGTTTAACTATTTTTGAATTGTAAAGAATAAAATGCCTAACCTCAAATAATTAACCCTTTTTATAATGTGGGATACTTTCATTCTTTGGCCTATTGTGATGCTTCAATCAATCAAATTAATCAAATACATCCTTGGAGAGACACATAGGGCAAAAGCAATACTTAATGGGATTGGCCCCTCTCATTCTTTAGCATAATGTGGTATGTTGTCATTTATCCAATAGTAGAGCATGAAACATTAAGATATACAGTTCACTTTCACCATCTGCATCAGCATAATTCCCCGGTAGATCTGGCTTCTTCCCCTGCCCTGTGCCTGAGTCATGTGTCTTATAGTTGTCTGAAGTGAGGATAGAGAATGACAGAGCCTTTGTTAGTTAAAATGAGATTTTTTGGGCTAAAATAATCAAAAAAAGATAAAATAGATTTTTCAGTTCAATAAGATAAAATATCATATTCAAACCATAATCATTTCATTTTTTCTATCATCAAAGTCAAAAAAGTCAAAAAATCTATCATAAATGACATTTTTTAGCGCTAGGCTAAAATAGTCAAAAAATTAAAAAATCAAAAAAGTAACCCACATCTCAAACGAACCAATAGAATTATGGAAACAATTATGAGGTGATCTAGGAGCAAATTTACATGGTGTCTCAACTTATTATTTATTGGCAATAGTGTTAGAAATACAAAAAATCAAATATAGAGTGAGAGATATTTGTGTCCCATTTGTCTTTAATTTTCTGTGTATTAGACTTAACATATGTGTTTGATTAATGTATGGTTTAAACTCAATTTTTACATAATATGAGATTCATATGAAATTTTTTGAATTACATAATAATTTTTGTTTTTATTTATTTTTACGTATCTGAGTTGTTAATACATAGGTCTCGTTTGTCAATAGATGAAAATAGTAAAAAAATTACTACAAATTATCATAATATTTGTAAATAGAATTTTTAAGTAATTAATTACTACATAGGTCTCGTTTGTCAATAGCCTTCTTAGTTTTAAAAATTAAAAAAAACTGATAATATTTTACAGTTTTATTAAATAGGACTTATTGGTTCAAAAAAATTTGGATAGAACATGAGTTATCATAATATTTGTAAATAGGATTTTTAAATAATTAAGTCTTAAAAGAATCCTTAATATAATTAGATAAAAAGAAAATTTAGTGATCATGAAATTTTTTTCATGAAAATGATAATGAAAGATTTATGGTCATTGGATTACCTTGATTAGTGTGTGGTGCTTTATTTTGAGTGTAATTCAAGGATCACAAAACTTTCATTATTATTTTCATAAAAGGTTTTTCATGATATCTAGCATTGCTATTAGATGAATAATAGATGTTACTGTTGCGAGGACAGTGTTTGGTTGCTCCATTGATCAAAATCAGAAAAGGACAATAAATGATCACATTAAAGATGGATCAGAAGCTATAGAGATTGGAGCTTTCGACCTGTATTTGGCTAGTAGGCCGACGCGGTTCAGACAGATGATCAAGTTGTCCCTTTTCTTGTTTGGGAAATTGAATTAAAGTGGAAACTTATGGATTGTTGGAGATGTTTTAAATAATTGTATTTTTTGATTTTTTATAAAATATGAATTGAATTTGAAGTGATGTAATAGAGAGGTGATGTGATTTAAATAAGATAGTGACTTTTGACTTTTTAATTCTTTTAAAGGATGCCAAACCTAACCTTATTGGCTGATTTTGAGTGTTTCTTGGAAAGTTAAAAAGCTTAAAAAAATCATAAAAAACCAAATTTCTTAATAATTCATGGTTTTTAATAAAACAAAAATATATATTTATAAACGTATTACTTTTTTTCTACCTCATAAAAATTTAAAAATAAAAAAATTATTAAAAAAAATTAATTCTCAAATGAAAGAATTGTCTTCTTGTTTCTCATAAACAATTATAAAAGTTATAGTCTCACTAGTTTAGCTAATAAAATGCAAGTTAGGCACCACATGTACATGCCTCAAAAATAAAATACTTTTCCAGTAATGTTATATAAATAAATTTTTTATATAAAAAAATTGTAGAGATTAATATGAGCATCACATGATGGATTGCGATCATTTCTATTGCATATATCATCTAAGGATGAGTGCAATTATATCTTTTAATTTAAAATAATTATAATTTTATATTTTTATTTTATAGCCATTAAACATACAATGAAAATGTTCCATTATATAGATGGAATGGAAATGATTAAAATCCTCGTGTGATAGTCTTGTTTTAAGGCAAAACACCTAGCAATATTGTTCAAAATTGTAAAAATACCACTTTATATCATTCATTTTGTATAAAAATTCATAATTTCTCAAGCGCCCCTCCCCGGAGTCAAATCCAGCGAAAAGTATCATGCAAAAACAGTGGTTTCATTTGTGAATACGTTGGAGGGACAGTTGGAAAAATAAATTACTTGGCCAATCACAGAGTAGAACTCATTTACTGATGAGAAGGTGGTAGTTGGGTTCAAGGGGACCTACATATGTTGTCATGAAATATCTGTCTATATAATAACTATATACTTCACAGCTACATGGCACTGCACTGCACTCAGCATTGCTAGCTAGGGTTTTCTTTGATAGAGAGCTCCTCTTGCTTTGTGGGTTTTCTTTTGTTTAAGCTACAATGAGTGTTGTGGTTGGTTTGTTTCTTGTATTAGTCGTATGTAGTGGAGTTGTTGTTGCAGATGTTAATGGAGTTAAAGATGATAAACACTTACTTGGCCATCTTGGAGGAGGTTTAGGGCATGGGATATACAAGAATGGGTTTCGACATGGGTTTGGTAAAGGTGGTGGGCTTGGTTTAGGCGGCGGAGGTGGTCTAGGGGGTGGTGCTGGTGGTGGTTTAGGAGGCGGAGGTGGTGCTGGGGGTGGTTTAGGAGGTGGGGGAGGTCTAGGAGGTGGTGCTGGTGGTGGCGTAGGAGGTGGGGGTGGTCTAGGAGGTGGTGCTGGTGGTGGCGGTGGAGGTGGTGCTGGTGGTGGCGTAGGAGGTGGAGGTGGTCTAGGAGGTGGTGCTGGCGGTGGTTTAGGAGGTGGAGGTGGTGCTGGTGGTGGCGTAGGAGGTGGTGCCGGTGGAGGCTTAGGAGGTGGAGGTGGTGCCGGTGGAGGCTTAGGAGGTGGAGGTGGTGCAGGGGGTGGTTTGGGAGGTGGAGGTGGTGCAGGTGGTGGTTTAGGAGGTGGAGGTGGCGTAGGTGGTGGTTTAGGAGGTGGAGGTGGCGTAGGTGGTGGTGGCGGCTTAGGAGGTGGAGGTGGCGTAGGTGGTGGTGGCGGCTTAGGAGGTGGAGCTGGAGGTGGTGCTGGTGGTGGCATAGGAGGTGGTGCAGGTGGTGGTTTAGGAGGTGGAGGTGGTGCTGGTGGTGGCGCAGGAGGTGGACTCGGAGGTGATGCAGGTGGTGGTTTAGGTCATGGTGGAGGAATAGGAGGTGGTGCAGGTGGTGGTGGGGGTCTAGGAAGTGGTGTAGGTCATCATGGAGGACTTGGAGGAGGTGTCGGTGGTGGGTTGGGTGGTGGTGCAGGTGGAGGAGCTGGTGGTGGAGGTGGACTTGGTGGTGGCCTCGGTGGCGGAGGGTTAGGTGGTGGTGCTGGCGGGGGTGCAGGTGCAGGTGCTGGTGGAGGTGGTGGTGGTGGGGGTTTTGGTGGTGGAGGCGGAGGTGGTTTAGGTGCCGGTGCAGGAGTGGGGTTTGGAGCCGGTGCAGGTTTCGGAGTAGGGGGAGGAGTTGGAGGTGGGGGAGGTGGCGGCTTTGGTGGAGGTGGTGGAGTAGGCAGCGGTGCTGGTTTTGGTGGAGGAGCTGGATTTGGTGCCGGCGGTGGCAATTAAGTTGTCGCGTCACACGTTGCTTGCTATTGAATTTGTTACCTTACTGAAGTGAGAGTGTGGTAGCTATTAATAGATACGTAGATCTGTGCTAAATTAGATTTTGCGTTTTCTTTGCATTGTTAGCTTTAATTGTTGTGAACCATCCCCCTATGCCATATATCTCTCGTTATCAACCAAAAAAAAAAAAAAAAAAAATCTAATTTCCGAGTTCGTTTTGGTTCCTTATCTTTTTTTCTTTTCTATTCTTTTCTTCTTCAGTTTTATTTTTATTTTTTTGAGGTCAAAAATTCAAATAAGTTGTAATGATATCGATAATTAGTATGAGATCTTGGCAATGTTCTCATCAAACCAATTTACAATCCAAGCTCGTGGAAATGCTGGTGTCTGTTCTCGTTGAATTGCCAAAGTTACATACAAAACACAATACTTGTTTTTTTGGATTAGTAAAATGACAATTTTATTAAATAAGAGCACATCGAGATAAAGAGGGTAAAGAAAAAACTTTCTACATAAAATTAAAAAAAATTACGATTATCAAATCAATGTAATTTTTTAATAAATGATATAAATGTAAAATTTTATAAAATAAGCGGTTTAAATTATTGATGATATATATGTAATAGATCTCATCAGTTTAGGCAATACAATCAATATCATATTTGAATTCAAAGAGATGTCCAAATTCACCTTATAAGTTGCCCAAGTAGTTCACCAAATTTTATTGATAGTATGTGAGAGAGGGGTTTCGATTCCATCACAAAATGGTGTGGATTTGTCAATTCTGTGTCATTCTCACAGTATTTCGATTTTAATAGCAAATTAATGCATGTTTGTGCTTGGGATGTTTTCTTTTTCTTTCATCCATTTTTTTAATTAAAAAAATAATATATAAGTAATTTTTTTTTGATTAGAAAAATGTAATCTAAATAATGTGAAAGTGATATTTTTTTAATTGTAAAATACAATAATAGATATTTTAATTAAAAATGAAATGAGCATAAAAATTACATTATTCCGTTGGAAAATTTTATAAAAAAAAGAAAGAAAATCTCTTTGGACCGCGTTGGCCATTTCTTTTGGATAACATTAATTTGTGTTAGATGAAATAGTTGTATACTTATACATATATGTGTCTTATGTATGAAACAAATGGGTTCAAAATTTAGGAAATGATAGGACTTCAAATCATGCAATTCAGATGAGCATATTAATTAATAAATTAAGAAAAGCGTCATTCAAGCATAAAATCGAATCACGCATATTATCTGTGAAAAAATCTAAAAACTTTTTAGATGTTGATTTGTGATTATGTATCAATTTTAAGTAGTAAACAACAATCCCAATTAAACAATCAAAACAAATCAATACAACGATTTTACGAGGAAAAATCACAATTGGACACCACCAGTTGTGATAAAAAACCACGGGCAACAGTTACAAAACAATCTACTAAGAAGATATAAAGGAATTACATAGGTATACTCTCAATCACCTAGCGAATCCACACCCGAATTGAACCAACCCCCATATGCCTCTTTTAACCCCGTATTCACCTCGGAATTGTCTTGACGATGAGCCACTCCAGAATCCACCAAAGTTTCAGGCTCGAATTCTACAGAATCCACCGAAGAACAACTCTATCTTTTGTATAGAATGAACAAACAAACCTTTGATGTATTTTTCTTAACCTATGAGTTGAATACTCAATTAAACATCAAAGAAAACTAGCAAAATATCTCCAGATATAAACTTTAATATCCAAAAAGAAGATCTGGAGAAGCAATCCTAATTTTGGACTAAAACAAATACTTATAGAAATCTGGGACTGCGAAGCTCGCTCGAGCGAAGACTCTCTCGCTCGAGCAAGGAACCAAAAACGTATGTTTTCCATAAGTGGCTTCGCTCGAGCCAAACAACCTGCGCTAGAGCGTAAAATCATCATTCTCAGGTTTTTTGCCAGACGCAGCCTTTGCTCAAGCGAGAACTCCTTCGCTCGAGCGAGCAAGGGCGGACATGCAACTTTGAATGTAATTTTGCATTTTGCTTCGGGGGCGATGCCCCTCGACCCCGCCGTGGCGCTGCCCCGGACCCACCAAGGGGTGCTACCCCCTCGACCCCCGCGAGCTGACCGGGCAACTCGATCCCCGTCATAATCAGCGAAGTGGCAATCTTGAAAGTATTAACATCACAAATTTCTCTGCAAAGCACAATTCGGGTTGGATTTGCATCTAGAACTCATATCCTCACTGAAATACAAAAGCGAATAAAATTACAACTGAAAGGAGTTTTGTCAAACGGGATTGCCAAGAATAAAAACCTACTAATCTCCCTCTTTGGCAACGCCGTGACAAAACACACCTAATAAATAAAATCCTAATCACCCTAACCCATTACATCCAACAAAAATAAATTTCTTTCTCAAGGTCATGATCTGCAAAACAGCTATTAGTGCCATAATCTCCAAAATAACTATTAGTCCCACAAGAGTATATGAAAAAGCAATAAACATATGGTTAGATTATCTTGAAGCATTTGAAGCATGAGATGGAAAATATGAATAGACGTGACTTAGAGATTTTAAGAACATATAGCATGAAAACCTGAAAACTAAGACACATGCACCCGATACATGGCATGAATACATGAAATCCTAAGACACATGTACCATGTAGCATAAAAACCTGAAAACTAAGACATATGCACCCGGCACATGGCATGAATATATGAAATCCTAAGACACATGCACCAGAAAACATTACTCCCATTTTTTGTCACGAATTGACAAAGGGAGCTCAATCAACTAAAGCAAGATCAGAAACCACACAAGCAATGATAAGATTATGTAAATATCAGGAGCATGTAAGAAGGAAATAATAAAGAAGTAGTGCATAGCATCATGCAAACCAACTAAAGCCAATCTCCCTTGTACTCATAGCAACCACAAATACTGTACAGAAAACAATGAACAAGAAGAAAAAGACAAAAATAATATTGTGGAGCAAGCAAGGAATTTCAGAGTTGTACCTTAAAACACACAAGATTATCCAAGAAACACAATTACTTGAAAACATAATGTGCACAGCCTGTAGAAGATTCCTCATAAAAGAAAGTGATGCAATATGTGACAAGCATAGGTCCCATGATAAAAGTGTGTGTGTGACTCTTGGAGTTCGACAAACACTAGATTCAAATCCTAGTAGTGATATGAAAACTAGACCTCCGACAAGAGAATCTAAGCACAACTAAGGAAAGTCAAACCACTAGGAATCAAGGGGTATTTGGTGAGTTAAAGGCGGAGCCTCCCCCTCAATCAATGAATCCGTTATTTTTTTCCTTTTTTTTTTTTCACATCTTTTTCTTTTCTTTTTTTTGCACAACTTTTTTTTTTGTTTCTTTCTTTTGCACAATTTTTTTTTTTTCCTTTTGCACACTTATTGGCAGCTGACACGCTCAAGAGTATGGAAACCGAACTAGATAAGCATGGAAATAATAAGGATGGCTTGGTTGGTGACTCTGAGGTAGCCTTTTTCTTATGCCTGGACTACAAAGAACTGAGGAGAAAGCCATAGAGATGCAAAAAGATGGAAGATGGTTAAGAGACTCAACATCACCCATGATATGCTAGTATAGGTCAATTCCTTTAGAAAAGCAAAAGATACAATGCCAGAAGTCCATAGAGAAAAATGATCACTAAGGTAGAAGACTCCAAAATTTGCTAATCCAAGAGTGTGTACAGAATGAGACATACTAATAAAAAACACACACTCCAAAATAAGTAATGACCACAGAAAGCACACACATATTAACATGTAATGGATATTCTTATCAATTCCAATATGTACCAAGGACCACTAAAAAATTTCAAGTTTGCAAAACCATACTAAGAAAATCTTTTTGGATTTTTTTTTTCATTTTTTTCATTTTAAACAAAGTAATACAGAAAACGAACATGCACACATTAAATGATAGCACACATTAAATGACCCCCCCCAAAAAAGCACACAGAAACCTAAAAACTAAAATGAGTAAACAAATTAGTACATGTCAAGTTTTCTCACCCAAACCGTTTTAGTATGAACAAAGTTGTGAGAATTGCGGTTCTTGGATAGTATCTTGACATTGTGGTTCCCTTCGCTTTCAATGGGAACCCGTCTCGACTTGGTTTCCAACTTCCTATTTCTAGGTCTAGGCAAATACAAACTCGCTCCATGTATGGTCTCAAGCTGATCAAAATAACGAGGTCTAAAATGACCTTTAACCTCATTACTACCAATGAAGTGTCTCCTACCCCACGAGATGTTGGAATTTCTTCCATCTCTATGAGACACTCTCCCATGTAACTTATAACAATAAGGGTTAATATGACCATGTATACCACAATGATGACAAATAAAACAGGGCGTACATGGTGTACCTTTTTTTCTTTTACCTTATCAACTCTAGAAAATTTGAGAAGCCCATCCTTATGTTGAATTTTTCGTTCTCCCTTTCCTTGAGTCCTTGTATCATGAGATGTAGATGCACTCTGTTTTTGCTCTTTGTTATCACCAAAGCCAATGCCACTCTTGTCACAACACATTTGTTGAGACCCAATGATATCCTCCAAAGTCTTTGATCCTTTGTTCCAAAGACCAATGGTAGCCATAGCACACTTGAGCTCTTCCTCTTTCTTGATCATTAGTTCTTCCAAGGAAACTTGAGACATCTCGAAGGATTCAATCTTTTCTTCATACATTGCATAGATTTGCTGTAGCTCATTCCTTTCTGTCTCACAAGTCAAGAGTTTTGTACAAAGAGCTTGTCGATCATTAGCTATCTTGATGGCATCAATCCTAGCCTCAGAAATCTTCTCCTTTAGTTTGACATTTTCACTTTTACATGCTTTGAGTTTCATAGTGAGTTTGTCATTCAATTTGGATAAGTTAAGAGATTCCTTATACAACTTTTCATAAGCTTGCTCAAGCTCTTTATCATCATTTCTTGAGGATTCATCATCAGTG